ATTTTAACGGGATCTAACCCGCAGATTTGATAACGTTTTGACGGTTTACTCGCAGAAAGCAAATAAAAGTCAAGTTTGAACATAAAAGGAAGGTTTAAAGAGAAATAGAAGATTTCCGCAGAAGAAAAGGAAGGATCGAGAAGAATGGAAAATTCCCGATTTAAGTCGAATCTGGGCGAAATGGAAAGATCGGATTGCCAAGACGAGGAGTATATAAAGAGGAGGTCTAGGGCAGAAGCACACACGAAATTCAGAGCTTCCACCACCGAAACTAGCATTTAGGAATATTTCCGTTTTTCTGTTAGCGAGTAGCGTCTCAATTAGGGTTTTCTAGTTCTTACGCTTTCGGCAATTCTTTTTGTACCAGTTCTACGCAGATTCGGAATAAGAACCTCTTTGCTCTCTGTTTTCGTTTATTCTCATTTAAATTCTAAGTATTTTCGTCATCTTATTTTTGTTGTGCGGTTCTCGCAGATAGCCGGTTCCTCTGGAAACTTAGGGTTTTCCCGAAGTTTCTTTTTTTACGATTTATTTGACAGTAGGGTGAAATCGACTCCCACAAGGAGCTTGATCGGAGTTGAAGATTTGTCAAGAGATGATTTCAAGCTTAGGAGGGAGATTGTTGGAGTAAGCTTGAAGTAACTTAAGAAGCAAGTTACCTAATCCTAATAAGTTAAGATCGTTGATAAGGATTAGGAAATATTCTAATATGTTAAACCTAATGAGTTTAGGAAAGTTTGATTCATATATAAAGAGATTGCTGAGTTGTAGCATCCTTTGAGAGTTTGTGAGATTGTTTTGAGAGAACTTGAGTTTTGAGGAATTTTCTCAAGTGATTAATAAGAGAAGCAACTTCTTATTAACGTGTTCTTATTAACAATCGTGTGACTATACTTCTCGTGTCGCCGGCTGAGTAATTTTGAACGGGTTTGAAGGTCCGAGATTGTGATTCTTTGGACAGGTGTTGATGATTGAATCTCTTGGAAGTTGTAGGAACGGTAGCATCAAGGTTTGAGGGCGCCTTTCTCTCGGTAGCTCGTTCCTCTCACGCCTATCTTTCAGGTCCTTCGCTGCTTCGTTGGTGTCCAGTTCTTTGCCTTGGTCTCTCGTTCTTTCCTGTTAGTATGTCTCTGCTTAGATTCTTTGTTTAGATTAATTTTCACACCTCCGCTACTCGTCTCTATGTAACTTCTGTCTCAAATTGAAATCTGATAATAATATTTTAACATTTTATCAAAAAAAAAAAAAAGATCTTAAACAACACTCTCTTAAACAAAAGCAAAGGAGAGAAAGTGATACTCTCGACAAAATGATCTTAAACAACACTCTCTTAGATATTGTCCATATGGGGTTCAGCTCACGTGTTCATTAGCGGTTTAAATTTTGTTAAAATTAAAAAACAATTACGTTTTCAGATTAGATATTCTAAGTGCAGTTCTCCCGATAAAGGTGATCTCAGAGTTCAGACCCTAAAGTATCTAAACAATAAATTCAGTATCTTGATTGGTAAATTCTCGTTGATGGTTGAGAACGGTTTTCGATTCCCGAGGATTATGAATTAGAATTAGCGGAACGCGCCAGATACATGGGTTGAGCGAAGCTTGATAGAAATAGTTTTGACTTGGGAGTTTTGTTCAAGTCAAATCTGGTAATCGAATCCTAATGTCCGTTTCAGGTCGATTTTATAAAATTTCAATTAAAACAAAATATTGATCGGTCCATCCCCATACTAAATAACGGTTTGATTGATTTAAAGAACTTCCATTGATATGGCGCTTCAACCCGCAAAATTCACCGATTTTCGGTTAGACTGTTGCTTTCCCAAAAAGTTTAATCACTCAAAACTATGTGCAAATGTGCTACGTATTGGGTTATGATTTGGCTATCATTTGGCGAGCAAAGGCTTCAAAGTTGAGGATGAATCAGTCTTAAAATCGCATAGGAGTTGTTTAGCTGGTCAATTTTGAAATTAAAATTTCCAGCTTAAGAATTCATGGAAGACACTATGCATTTTGACTTTGTAAGGATTTTCTTCCACTTCTGCTACCATATGTTGTAGGAATTCATTTTAGAGGTTCTTTTTACATTTTGATATATACAATATCAAACTGTTAAAAAATATCAGATTTTTTACATTTTAAAATAATATAGTAAAATATTTAAATTTTATTTTCATTTCATATACAAAATATCATTTAATCTACCAAATTTTATTTAAATGTTCTAACTTATAACTTGCTACAAGTAAAATATTTAAGTTTTATTTTCATTTCATATACAAATATCAAAAAAGATTATTGAATCTACTAAAATTTTATTTGTAACAAGTTATAAGTTAGAACATAGAAATAAAATTTTATTAGATTAAATGATATTTTTATATTTTGAATATGAAAAAAATTTAAGTATTTTATTATATTATTTTGAAATGTAAAAAAAAATTTTTTTAACCAAGGTTAATTAATATTTCTACAATCGAAAGTTTGGATTTTAATTTCCAACAAAAATGGATTATGAAAGAGTTGAAAAAGAGCTTACAAGTGATTTTCATCATGACATAAAAAATACTGTTAAGAATGAATCTTATAAAGTGGTTCATGGTGATGCAGTTAAGCACGAATTTTCATAAGTTAGGTAAAATTGTTATGAAATCCTCTATAATTTTTTGCATAATTTGTAATAATGTAGTTAACCAGATAAAAAGAAAAGAATAAAAAAGTAGAATATGGCAATATGCAATGGAAGCAAATTATCACAAAAGACATTTCTAAAACCATCTTTGAAATTCCAGCGTTAAAAAGGAAAGAGTTATTTCACTCTGTAACTATGAAACAAAATTTTATTAACGGATTTACTAGACCTTTCCATAATTAGGTAACCAGTTATGGTTTCAACCTGGAATGACGAAACTATCCTCTCGCGACCTTCCGTTCGCCTACATTTGCAGTAAAACCTTAGTCTATATGGGCCATTTCTTGTCTGGTATGTTCTGAGCAGTGTCAGACTGTTGTCTACTATTGTATATTATGTGAAGTTTTTTATGTAATACCTTTGCAAAATGTAGTCGAAGTTGATTACTTTCATTTTCTTTGGGAAAGCATAAGTGGATTAATGTACTATATAGCTTCCAAAACAGATGTTGAACTTCATCAAAATCTTGGCTTCTATGTAGATTTTTTTCTAACCCGATAAATTGGTAATCGTAATGTGAGGTCAACAAAACTTTTATTTATATTGAACCATAAAGTACACTAGGGGGACATTTTTTCATCATAATGGCTGAGGTTGGAACTAATTCAAAAAAAGTACAAGAACGATTTTGATCTGATTCCTTATTTATCTATAAAGAAAATGATTATAGTAGTTGTAATTAACACCATCACCCAGGTGATCATGAACGTAGTGCGCATTGTCTTCTTCGTTGTCCTAAACACCTCAAAGATTTGTTCATAAGACTGATGTATTTCCAGATCTTCATTTCTTCCAGCAGATGACCGTAGCGACTCTAAGATGGCATTGGTTTCAGTTAAAGTAGCTCTTAAGGCAGCTGTTTCACGTTTGTTACATCTGATCCGATTCCTTTCCTCCAATAAACTTGCCTTTTGCCAATTTTTGGGTTCTTCCGTGTCCGCCCAACTAACAAACCCGGGGACCTCACAACGGTGGAAACGTCGGCCCGGGTTGTCATCGGACCACGAGAGTGTGACATTTGTTTGCCTTGAACACTGACAGAGAGGTCCACCACCAAGGTTCTTTATGGCATTAGAAGATGAAGAGGATGAAGTGACCTTGTCATTTCGTCGACTATACTCCGCAGACACGAGTTTTGAGATTTCTATATAGGAAAATAAAGAATGTCCGATTCTATATCTATTCCGACCTTACTGTCAGTGCCCCTTTTGAATTCCAAAAGCCAGGACAGGTGTCAATCATCGGAGATGACAATAGGTGAGCAAGGAAAATATCTTATTGGTTTGGTCAAACCGAATCAAATTTGCAAAGTATACATGGGGGTGTAACCAATTTGACACATGTTAACCGGTGAAGTGTAAACCCTAAACTCATCTACTTCCGGTTTACTATGGAGGGAAACGGATTGAAAAAAAACAAATATAGAATTCAGTCGGCGTGTCATTTTACATCTCCTCAAACGCCTAAACATGACCGCTATGATGTTATAGGCTCAGGCTACACACTGTTGTGATGCGAGCTGGATTCACATTTTATGTATATGGGTGTATCTATCGCTGGTTTCCACCACACATCTTGCTATAAATCAACACTCCATGTCTTCATCTTTCCAAAGAAAAAAAAAATATTTTCCCGTTTCATAAAGTTTGTACAGGGAGTTAGAAGAATCTCTTGCGAAAAGGTAACCCTTGCTTTTTAGTTGGATCTCTTTAGTGTTGTCGGTCTATTTTTGGGTGGTGGGGTCTTTTTACCGAACCCTAATTTTTTTATTTTCGTTTCCTTTTAAGAGAATAGAAAACAGTTTGGTTGAATCCCAGTTCCCTCATATTTGTGCTGTTTTTTTTCTGTAGATGGGAAGGATTTTGCACCTTGAACAAGTAGTGTGGGTCAAATCTGAATCTGGTACCTAGAATCTCATGAACAGTGACGCGTACTATGGAGAAGCCATTCTAGTCCGTGAGAATGAGACTATCGATGATCTGAAGACTATTGTTCGTGTGAGGTTGGAGTTGGGACCGTACACTCCCATCGCTTTAACATACCAGTTTCCTGACTGGATGATTATCCCAAATGGACCCAGACCTCAACCGGTCAATATTCGTGAGACAAGGGATGTTGAGGTTATGATGAGTGTCCGTGAGTTCAATGATGTTCTTGTCCTCTATGTGACTTCTGGAGCTGAAGATGTTGCCCGATACTAGTTCTTTTGCCAAACCATTCACTCTTGGAAACACAACTTTTCTTGGGCCGGGTGTTTCCGAATCTGCGCATCGTCAGTTTATTAGAGGTTATTAAGCTTCCCAAGCTTTATAAAGTTTGCTATTTTTATAAACCAATATTGATTCACTTTTTTTGGGTAAAGAATGGGCAGATATGTCTGGATGTCGTCCAATGAGCTGTGATACAAGAATGCTAGAGATTTTATGCGATCAACAGCAGCTTCTTGGCATTTACCGTCTATCTCTCGAGATTGACCTCGCTCTATCTCGCCCTCTTGTCAATGATGACTCGAACATAGACCCCAATATCCCAATAATTTCGCTTACGGACCGTCTTCCAAATGTTGATTTCATAGTCAACCCCACCGGAACCCCCAACCCTAATCCTCCTAACCCCAATGGTAAGCTACAATCTATTTAATTGATTTAGCTCAAATCAACACTTAACATTGGTTATCTCTCTAACTCAGTTTTAATTGTGAGATAATGATTTTTGGTTTTTACTTTGACAAACTAGTTGTAGTTGGAAATCCGATCCAAGCAATGGCCTTTACTCTTTTCTCACCTGATCACTCGTCGGACATATTCCGGGGTGCTAGCCTGGACATTGAAAGAGGACGTGCGTTAAACAACCCACACCGTGTTTCTGCTGATATGGTAGACGATACAAATAACTGGGAAGCTTTTATGAAGTTAATGTCGGCACATCTGCAACACCTGTCCAGCGTGCCCAACCATTGGGGTAATTGGGCCTATCAGTAAGTCGTTGCCTGCTGAGGTTCCACCACATATGGAGACCGATGACATCCAAGACAAAACCGTTGGTCACTCCTTCTCTAATTCTTCTAATGAGTGTCTTGTCGTCATTGGGGATGATGGTACGGTCTTTTTGATTGTTGTATTATTATTTAAACATAATTCCACCTTATGCAACGCTTTTGTTGAATTTGTTTTTAAATTTCACAGGTGCTATTCCCGCGAGAGACCCAGTAATGCAAACACCACCCAAGACACAAACTTTGAACCTTGTTTTTGATGATGCAGTTATGGATGCTGGAGGACCTTCTCTCGATTTAAGTTTAGGGTTTGGTCGTACCAAACAAAATTTTGGAGGCCCGTCTGTTGTGGTCATTGATGAGTAATGCTCAGAAGTACCGGTGACACTGGTGGGTTTGGAATCCAACCTTAGATAATTAAGAATACTATTTGTCCTTTATGTATTTCTTTCTATGGGGTGTGTAAGATAATCCAGCAGATTTTTTTTTGTTTTCGTAACCGGAAGTTTTCTTCTATTTTCCGCACTTTATTGGACGCATGTATTGTGAAATATTTGGGTAACTATTAAATGTTTGTTTAATAAACTTACTACTTTGTCTCCTTAGGTTTCATTTCTTTGTTTGTTTTACAAATGTAGGGCTTGAAAACAATCAAACTGACGATATTTTCGTAGGCATGACCTTCAAATCTAGGGATGCTTTCAAACACCACAGTGCTATGCATGCAATCAGAAACAATTTCAGATTTCGTATCACAAGATCTGCGCCAGACGGCATGGTGTTAAGATGATATAGCAACACCTGTAAGTGACGCGTTTATGCCGTGCGTCTCAAGAACATGGAGGTGTATGAAATCCGTTGATTGGAGAATCAGCACTCTTACTTCGTTGATGATCGAAGGGTATGTCTAAATCTAAATAGAGATATCTATGTCATCGCGCCCGTATGTGTAAAAAGAACAAAGACTAGTGTTATTTTATATTAGCCGGTTTTTAATGCTAGTGTCTAGTTATAAAGCTAATTTAATAATCAGGTTATATATCCGGTTTAATATAATTTATTTTTTCCTCGAGTAGTGTTATTATATATTATCCAGTTTTAAATGTTAGTATCCAGATAAAGATTTATATAGTAATTAGTTTGTATTCCTTGTAATCTCCTTTTGGTTTTTGATATTTTTAAAAACCGGATAATCGTTCTGTGGTTTTCAACATGTGTTGCCGATATGTATTACTCATATATTCCACATAACTATTCTAACATCAACCTCTTTATGTAGGATATCAAAGTCAAGCAACACACACTGTCATTGGTGAAATGATGAAGGCGAGGTTTTCAGGATCTGGTGGTGGGCCTAAGCCTCATGAGATTATGCAGGTTATGCAGGGAGACCACAACGTCAGAATTTCGTATTGGAAGGCATGGTTATCTAGAGAGGTAGCTCTAGGTTATGCTAAAGGATCATCCGGTGCTTCCTACAACCTTTTACCAAGCTATCTGGCCAGACTTGTGCAAGCAAACCTCAGAACTTTGACTGAAATCCAAACTGATTTCATGGAAGGTGTAGGTCACATATTCAAGTATATGTTCTTTGCTATGGGTGCTTCTATTGATGGCTTTTCAGTCATGAGAAAGGTGGTAGTTGTGGATGGTGCTCACTTGAGGGGTAAGTATGCTAGGTGCATGCTCATTGCATCCATCCAAGATGGAAACTATCAAGTCTTTCCTTTAGCTGTAGCTATTGTTGACAGTGAGAATGACAAGGCATGGGAGTGGTTCCTACGTAACCTGTTGAAAATAGTCCCAAGCTCGGAGGAAATTTTGTTTGTATCTACAGACATGCGTTCATATATTCTGGTATTGCAAAGGTCTGTGCACACATTCTCTCTCTTTAACCGTTTAATTTGTAGATATCCAGTCACCTTTGTTAAAACGACTTTCATACCCAGATTTGAATACCCTCTTTATATATGTACAATTGTCAAAGCTTATGTACACCCTTGACAAACGTTTTTGTGTCTATACAGGTCTACCCTTTTGTTAGACACTGCGCATGTATACTCCATCTGAAGAGGAACATTAAAACATACTTCAAGGACAAGCACTTTGGGTATATGGTGGGTAAGGCTGCGTGGGCCTTCATGCTTTCAGAGTTCTTCAAAGTCTTCAACGAGATTAGTCATTCAATCCTTCTTGTACCGATTACCTTATTGGGATTGGGTTTAAGCATTGGGCACGTTCACATTTCCTGGGGGAGAGGTACAATATGATGACGAGCAATGTTGTGGAGTCGTGGAACTCCGCGCACCGTGAAGCTAGGGCGTTTCCGATTCTACCTCTCGTTGAATTTATTAGACGCAGCGCGTCGAGAAATTGCCAAAAATTCCCCAAAAAGCTTACCCCACGTGTTATGGAGGTACTTGCTGGTAATTTTAATCTCAGTGGGGGGTTTGGTGTTAACAAGATTAACAAGTCAGAGTACGAGGTTGTCGACAAGGCGAGATTTTCATTCCATGTTAACTTGGCTGTCAGGACCTGCAGTTGTTATGAATTCCAATGCCTAAGGATTCCTTGCCCACGCGTTGTCGCAGCATCTGTTGTTGCTAAAACCAGTGTTGAGTCGCTTGTTTCAGCGGAATATAGCATCACAAGTTTAGCAGCTGCTTATGAAAAATACATATTTCCTGTTATGGAGTGCATTGACGTTGACTCCCTTTCCGTGGACCTTTCAGATACATACCTTGATGTTGTGCATCCAGCTAGCAGACGCCCACCTAGAAGGCCCAGAAAAACCCGATGCCCATCAAGAGGCGAATTCAGTGTATGTGTGTTTAATATAAATATTAATTTAGGGACAAAAAGGTGTAGTTGTATCTAACTTTATTCGTAAATACTATGCAGATGAAACCGGTTTGCAAGCTTCACATTTGTAGCCGTTGCAAGCAAAGTGGTCATAACGGGGCTACTTTCAAGACAGCAATATGAAAGCCTCTCGCTATTGTTGGAAGTTGGGACACTCGGATGATGAAGGTGTATGGCAAGAATGGAAGGTGCTGTTATTGGACAGCAAAAGAATAAGAGATGTGGTTGTGTAATATCCAGTTATGTCTGAGGCATGATTATATTTTATTTCTCGAGTGTGTTTTGTTAAATAATATTAAAACCGACTATTTCTTGAAATATATCGGACAGCTTCATAACATTTAACTGGCTATGTAAATTAACATTAAAAACATATGTTTTCTAGTTATGGTAGCATAAAGTTGGAAGACAATAAAACCGGCTACTTCTATAAATATAGCGAACAACCAAATAATATATAACCTGTTATGTAAAGCACAATAACTACACGAATGGTTTAAACCGGTTCCTTGATGCAAACCGGTACTTAATAGGTATCCAGTTATTATTACATTCAACAGAGATTCCAACCAAAAGCATTACTTTGA